TCAGACTTATAGATTTGGATTTGATTCTATGACGATTTTGCCTCTTTCCTCATTCTTCAGGCAGACTTGGTTTCAGGTGCCTGGCATGTTTGTTGGGTTATATAAAGCACTTTTTGAAAATGGATCTTTAAAAAACAAAAATAAAAAGCCATCCCACTAGGAAACATTACTTTTGGCTGGTTTTGAGACTGCTGAAAGAGAAAGGGGAAAAAAGAGCAGTTCTGATAACTGTGTTCAGTTCCCAAGGCTGTTTTTGCAACCCGTGCCTCTAGGATATTCATTTTTAGAAGAGGGGAAATAAGTTACTTTCTTTGAACACTCAAATGTGGTGATTCATCTTTAAAAATGGGAAAATGGGAAAATGTTGTTGTTTTAGCTCTCAGCTTTTAAAGAGAGGTTGTATAACTTGATAGAAAACGAATGGGCATGGATACCATGCTCACCCCGCAAATTATGAGCATATTTATACAACCTTGCAATGTCTTTGAAAGTGGCAACGGCAGGTGGCCTTGTACACCAGTGGTGCTTAGTCTGGAAATTATTAAACCTTTTTTCAGATGGTAACCAGCTAAGCTAGCCATACATTTGCTTTTGTAAGAAGATAACATACTAACAACATACTGCTAGGAGGTGGCCTTTTTTTACAGTGGTCATCATGAAACAGTGGCAGTTGATGCTTCCATCTCAGTGAGACAGTGAATTTGCCATGAGTTTTCTTTTGGTGAAGATTTACCCAGGATGCTGAAACTTTTTTAATGCTACAGTGTATGTACCACCTAGAATTGTTCATTTGAGGTTCAGACTAAAAACCAGAATGGACTTACCACCTTTCACTGACATGGTTGCCATTGCTGTTTTTAAAAAAGGGAGAAAGTAGTCTGGATCTTGCTCATAGTCTGCAATAGTGTCTGGTAATTTTTTTCGTGTCAGGAGCAACTTGAGAAACTTCAAGTTGCTTCTGGTGTGAGAGAATTGGCCATCTACAAGGACGTTGCCCAGAGGACACCTGGATGTTTTACCATCCTTGTGGGAGGCTTCTCTCATGTCCCTGCATTGGGAGTTGGAGCTGACAGTCTGGTAATGACAAAGCCTCACATCTCATGGCTAATCACAAAGAAGCAATTTCAGCCACCAACTAATATACTCACCTTTTTATGTTGTTGATCATAAATTGGTTAAAATGTTTTCTTTTTATTAGGCAGGTGACTGAAAACGTCATGGTAATAACATTCAAATAAATTAATTCCTGACTGTGATTTTCATGATCACCATTTATAGAAGGATGAAGTAATGATAATTTTTGCTGGATATGTCAAGGCCTTATAGAACAATAACCTAACTAAGTGGCACAACCAAGTATTAGCCACAATCAAGTAGAACACCTAAATTAGGCATGGGACTTGTTTGATGTTGTTTGACTGTAGCTGTGCCACTGCCTACATGGCAGGGGGTTGGATTGGATGGCCCTTGTGGTCTTGTTCAACTCCATTATTCTAAGTCCTAGCAACCCTAACTGCCATAGCCTATGATGTGGAATGTTGAGAGTTGTTGTCCAGCAACATTGGAGACTTCAATGAGACAATGCCTGGAATACTAAGAGAAACTGGGGTTCTGGACCCCCCCCCCCCCCCCCCCCATAGAGGATAACCCCAGTTATAGCTGGGGTTGTTGCCCATCTCTTCTCATGAGCAACTGTGAGCTGTGAGCAACTGTGAGCTGCTCTCTGATCATGAGCAGCTCAGTTCTACCTCTCAGGAGTAGTCCTTATTTACGGGTGGGTGTGCCTTCCAAGTCTTTGTACTTCCAGACTTCACATGCCACCCTGCTCAAGCGCATATGCAGTTTCCTACCAAGGAATAGCAACAGCTCCCAACCATTCCTAACTAAGGAGTAGTTTTTCAGTTGTTATTAGAAGTTACTCCACAAAACAGTCTATCCCGGTCATTTGTGTAGAGGAGAAAAGTAACACCCTTCCAGCAGTGGGAGCAGCTGGCTCAGATTCAAAAGGGGTGCCTGTTAGACTCACCCACCCCCATAGGTTCTTTTGGAACAACTCTGTATCCAATAGGCCATTTCCAGCATGATATTAAATTATTATTGGTATTCCTCCCTCATGATCTGATACTTAAAGATTGATCTTGGAAGCTACACAGGAGCAGTTCTTATTTCTACTTGAATGGGAGACTGCCAATGAATACCAGGTGCTGTAGTTTATCTATCAGAGGAAATAAATGACAAACCACCGCTGAGTATTCCTTGCCTAAGCAACTCTATGGCATTCATGAGATCGCCATGAGTCGACAGGTGCCTAGAAGGCATATATACACATACTGTTTGGAGGCCTGCATGATTCCCATCACTGATATAAATATGTGGCTAAGTTTTAGTCATTCTGAGTGAGGATTTTAATCAACACAAACTCCTGCTTAGAGTTTTCCACACCACTGTGAGGAGATCCAGTAAGTTGTGTTCTATAGATATGTTGTTGTAACCTTGTTGTAACCTTGGTTTTGGCTTTCAGCCAAAGGTTACAACAACATCTGTTATAGGACTCCAGTATGCTGATGACAACGTCATCTGTGCGCATTCAGAAGAAGATCTACAAGCCACTCTAAACACCTTTGCAGAAGCATACAAGAAGCTCGACTTGTCATTGAACATTGAAAAAAACCAAGGTGCTTTTCCAGCAGACACCAGCCAACCCCTCTCCAATGCCAGAGATACAGCTTAATGGTGTAACATTAGAAAATGTTGATCATTTCCGCTACCTTGGCAGCCACCTCTCCACCAAAGTCAACATCGACACCGAAATACAACACCGCCTGAGCTCTGCAAGTGCAGCATTTTTCCGAATGAAGCAGAGAGTGTTTGAGGACCGGGACATCCGTAGGGATACCAAGGTGCTTGTTTATAAAGCTATTGTCCTCCCAACCCTGCTCTATGCCTGTGAGACGTGGACTGTCTACAGACGTCACATGCAACTCCTGGAACGATTCCATCAGCGCTGCCTCCGGAAAATCCTGCAAATATCTTGGGAAGACAAGCGGACAAACGTCAGCGTGCTGGAAGAAGCAAAGACCACCAGCATTGAAGCGATGGTCCTCCGCCATCAACTCCGCTGGACCGGCCACGTTGTCCGGATGCCCGACCACCGTCTCCCAAAGCAGTTGCTCTACTCTGAACTCAAGAACGGAAAACGGAATGTTAGTGGACAGGAAAAGAGATTTAAAGATGGGCTCAAAGCCAACCTTAAAAACTCTGGCATAGACACTGAGAACTGGGAAGCCCTGGCCCTTGAGCGCTCCAGCTGGAGGTCAGCTGTGACCAGCAGTGCTGCAGAATTTGAGGAGGCACGAGTGGAGGGTGAAAAAGAGAAACGTGCCAAGAGGAAGGCGCGTCAAGCCAACCGTGGCCGAGACCGCCTTCCACCTGGAAACCAATGCCCTCACTGCGGAAGAAGATGCAGAGCAAGAATAGGGCTCCACAGCCACATACGGACCCACAAGAATATTGGAAGACAATCATCCTCGGAAAGCGAGGGATTGCCTAAGTAAGTAAGTAAGTAAGTAAGTAAGTAAGATATGTAAACAGTGCTGGAACACCTGCTGGCCATTAAGGTAAAGGTAGTCCCCTGACATTAAGTCCAGTCATGTCTGACTCTGGGATGTGGTGCTCATCTCCATTTCTAAGCCGAAGAGCCAGCGTTGTCCATAGACACCTCCAAGGTCATGTGGCCGGCATGACTGCATGGAGCGCCGTTACCTTCCCGCCGGAGCGGTACCTATTGATCTACTCACATTTGCATGTTTTCGAACTGCTAGGTTGGCAGAAGCTAGGGCTGACAGCGGAAGCTCACGCCGCTCCCCGGAATCGAACCTGCGACCTTTCGATCAACAAGCTCAGCAGCTCAGTGCTTTAACCCACTGCACCACCGGGGGCCATTAGAAGAGGCAAAAATCAGGCTTTCAGTGAAGCAAGTCTGGTCATGCTGGGCAGAAGAGGATGGGGCCATTGCCAAAGTTTGTATGTTTTCTGGTGTAGTCATGCTGTATAAAAGCATGAGTGCTATCCAGAGGACCTGCTGCTAGGTCTTGCAAAAATATATGTCCCAAGGGCTGTTGAACATCAGGCTGATTACTGGATACGTGTGAAGGGTGATCTGTGCCATCAGGATTGTTTTCATGAAAAGTAACTGTTGTATTCAAGTGGGTCTCGTGATTCACGCAGTGTTCAGTATCCCCAAGACTGTCTTGTGCCTGTGCACTACAGCTGTTTGTCTCTTGAGGGCTTGCTATAAGCAGGTCAGACTTTACCACAGTTTCCGAACACACACTCTTCATGGGCTTCTTGCAGGCCTCTGGCATATGCACAATGAACTGGAATGCTTTGCTGACAGAATCCCTCAAGTGATTAGAGTTCAACTGACTGCAACGGCTCAGACTTGGTGCTATCAGGGGAGACTCTATTAGTTTCCACCTTATTCTTTTGTTAGGAGGCACTCCATTTTCCACCCCACATTGCATGTGACATGATTTTGTCTGATGAAGTTGCCAATGGTGTATGGCAAGGAGTATTCCGATAGCTCACAAGTTCTGGAAATGTCATGACAGCAGTCATAATTGGCTGGTCATTTTGTTTTAATTCTTCCTCAACCCAAACTACAGCTTTCTCTCTGTGAATTAGCTGTTTGCATGCCCTGAAGTCATCCTCAATGACACAATTTGCTAATCCTGTATTTTTCAAAGCAACATACTGCTTTCTTAAAATTGGCAGTGCAGTACTTAGCATTTTTTCTGTCTGTTTATATTGCTTTTCTTGCATCTATGCTAGAGTTCTCAGGTAGTCAATCTGAGTTTTCAAGTCTTTAACTTCTAACTTCAAATGGTGGTAATGCAGATATTTTGAAAGCACCTGAGGAAAATGGCCATCGTGATCCAGGAGGCGCATTTACTTTTCCACTCAGTGCAACCAACAAGTGTTGTCCTCGAAGCATTTAATCTCTACATATTTTTTCTTCTCCGTAAGTGACAGGTTTTGAGTAACACAATCCTGTGATCATGTTTCCCTGTTGCCTTTTCCAATTTCTCTGGAGAGCTTAGAATTTCAATTTGTTCATAGCAATGTTTTTGATCATTGGTTTCCAGAGCATTTTCTTTAAGTTGCACTTCCAATTTGAGAAACTCATTCCTGATTTCCTCTCGATTTGTAAATACATACTTCAAAATTTCTCTAAATCTTGATATCTCTGCCTATTGTTGTTTTATAAAACTGTGGTCCCATCCAGACAGTACCTTTATCCCAGGAGCTCCTGCAGAAATGAGGAGGGTGACCAGATGCCATTCTCTGTAAACCCGGAAGTAATTGCAACAAAAGGCAAAAAACCCCATGATTTCCAGGTGCCGGAATATCAGGGTTTCTAGCCAAATATCCAGATCTTTGCATGTTTGTGGAACGCTGTGGAACGCCCTCCCTGTTGACATCAGGCAGGCGCCCTCCCTTATGGCCTTCCGGAAGAGCCTAAAGACCTGGCTATTCGAGAAGGCATTTAATTGAGTGCTACATTAATTGGCAAGCGACAACTGGAACGGAATATGGACTATGAGATTGGTTATGATTCTATGCTGTGACGATGCGGACTAGTTAGTGTAATTTAGATTAGATTAGTATATATTATTGATATGTGATTTCGTGTTATGCTTTTTTGTAAACTGTTTTTATATGTTGTACACCACCGCGAGTCGCCCTAGGGCTGAGAGCGGCGGTCAACAAATGCAGTAAATAAATAAATAAATAAATGTTTGTATGTCCCTGCAATTGGATATCAGGGGATTTTTTTTTATCTTGGTTTGTTCCAGGGTTTTTGGTGCTTGTTCCTGATTGGTCAGTTCCTAAAAAGAAGGTGACACTTGCGTAGAAGGCAAAAACTTTGTTCTGGGAAGAGGAACTTTGTCCTTCACCTGTTTAATGAAGTTTGTGGCAGAAAAATGAAGTTTCTGGGGTGCAACAAGTACTTTCACAGTAATTAGTACACAATGAGACAGGAACAGACATGTTCAAACCAGGAACAAAATGGGGCTCATGGCTCATGGTATACTGGTGCCAGGAAACAACAGGATGATGTTGCTGGGTTATACAGGTTGGTTCCTCATTGGGTATATGCTGATAACATGTGTACAGTTTATGGCAAAAACGTACTATTGGCTGTTGGGACATGGACATGTGCTGGAGAGGAATGTAAATACTGAGAGCCAGTAGCTGCTGGCTAATAGGAAAAGCCATGTGTAACCCAGGAACAGCTCTGTGTTGTTTGATGCCACAAGTTCACAATCAAATCTGTCTAGACAGATGGCCAAGCAGCCAGGCTCTAAAAATAGTATATTATGATAAAGTCCTGTTCCTGGCTTTAAAATATATGTTCCTGTTTGTGTACTGCTGACTTGGACAGTAGTGGTTCTATCTCATGAGGTTTGTAAGTATGGGGGATACTTAATGAAATGTCTTTAGGCGACATTTTTATGGCCAGGACAAAGAATAGAACTTTTGCAGTTCCTCTTATATCCTAATGTTCGCATATCCGCATCCCACAATGTTTTAAAAAAAACCTGCTGGTTTCCAGTGGAAGTCCTGCCTCCGGTGGCCATCTTGGGAATTTCTAAATCTCAGGATAAGGCAAGATGTCTGGACAACGGAGGCAGAAATCCCAGCACCAACAGGTGTGTAAGGGGGCCCTCTCCTGAAGTCCAGTGGTTTTTTCACTAAAGCCCATGATAAAGTTCTGTCTAGAACCACCTTGTGTGTCTCATGATTATTGGGAGCAGATGCTTTATTGAGCTTATATTGTCTCAGCTTTTCTTTCAGTATTTCAATCTCCTTTTGTACCTCACAGATCTTCACATATTGACTTATATGGCTGTCCAAACTGACAAACAGAGAAGATTTGATTTGCTTGGCTCTGCTGGAATATTTAAGAGTGTTATATGTGTCATAGAAGAGAGAAGAAGGACTAACAGCAGCTATAATTATAGTATGACAGTTTCCACCAAGAGAATCCTTCAACAGACGAGTAAACTTGCTGTTCCGATAAGGAATATGCTGTCTCTTTGGATCTGCCAGAGCATTAATGACATTGCCAAGATCAATAATAATAATAATACTAACAACAACAATAACAATAACAATTTATTTATATTCTGCTCTATCTCCTTGGATTACAGAGTGGATTACAGAACACATATATGGCAAACATTCAATGCCTATTATACAATTAACAAAGACAAACAATACATAAACAGAGGTAACAGGCTTTTCCCAACATTTCCATTTTTTTTCTCAGCATCTAGAGGCTGTGCTCGACTCTGGCCACAGGGGGAGGGAGTGTGTATGCTGTCACTCCATCTTCCATGCCAAGGAGCTTTTGTCATTCTTAGATGTCCTCCTGATTGAAATTGCCAGCATGCCCTTATGGGCACCTTTTATTACCTCCCTGCTTTAAAGCAGTACTTATTTATCTACTCACATTTCTGTTTTTGATCTGCTAGGTGGGCAGGGAGCTGAGGCTGATGCTGGGTACTCACCCCAACCTGGGCTTGAACTGCCAACCTTTTGATCAGCAGGATTTTCTGCAGCCCGCTGTGCTAAGCTTGGCCTCTTAAGCAGTGAGTGATTAATATTTGCCCCTTCTCTGAAGCAAGCTTCTTTGGCCTTTATGGCACTGGCATGTTCAAACCCTGCCAGGTGAATGAGGTACATTTTAGCAATATGAACATTTTGATTAATACTTGCTGTCTTATCCTGCTGCCTCAGATAAATCTGAAAGACAGCATGGGATTGAGATAAGGAGGCATTCACATCAGTGGGATACTGTGTCCTGCTTTTGTTTCCATAATCCAACATTTGCAAGATCTCCTGTACAGATCTGGGCTGATGCAAAGTTAGTCCATGAACCAGTACACCTTTCTGATGATCTTCTCGAATGACCAGTGTTCCTGAATTTACTAGTAGGTCATGTATCTGCTCATTGTATATATTTATTTTTTATTTATTTCAAATATTTGTACCCCACCCTTCTCAACCCCCTGGGATGATGTACCTAACTATGACTGAACTTTATGCTTTCATTGAATGAATGAAAGAGAGAAACCATTGTGCCATTACAGTTTCATCTCAAGATATGAAACTAATGGCAAAATGGTTTTCCTCTTTCATTTGTTCAATGGAAGCATAAAGTTCCGTCATGGTCAGGTACATCATCCCAGTATCCTCAGGAGAACCCAGCATTGTGTGAGTTTTTCCAGCTCCTGTTGTACCATATGTAAGCACTGTGCAATTATGGCCATTTATAAAGCCATCCAGGACTGTTTTGGTTGTTTCTTCAAAGACCTCTAACTGTGATGCACCTTCACCAAACATAAATTTCTTATCCTTATTTTCTTTTTTGTTCAAATCACAGTATAGACATTTCTTTCCATGAAAAAAAACTTGACTTCCTCCACTTTTGGATTAAAGACCAGCATATGCTGATTGACATCCTGGAGCACTTTGCTGAAGTTGCCATCTCTCTCTTTTTGACTCTCTGGTCGAACATGGACCACTACCTTCACATGACTGCAGATGTCTTCATGAACAGTAATGGACATTATGAAAAAAGTCATAATGTCAGGAATACTTCCCATTCAAAATAAATTCAGCTTCTTCAGAGCATCACCGAGAGAGATTTGTTTACTCCCAACCAAAACTGTGTCATATCAATGTAGGTAGAGATTTTTCTAAACTCAAAAGTTTTGGCTCCTGATGAAAGCTTTTTAAAAAATGAAACAGTTTTCAAAGAAGAGGAGCAAAAAGACACACTTAGATTTGCAGACCTGCAAATTCATCAAAGCAAAAGGCAGGGATTTCCCACCTGTACTCTTAGGTTGTGCATCCCACAGCATACTTGATAAAATTCCAGTTGTTAAACAGCCACTTTGCCTTCAATTTTGGCCTACAGGTTTATTTCAGAAACACAGGATCCTATGTATTTTGTTCAACAGCTTCTCTCATTTTAAATATATATATGAATAGGAGACAGGTATTAGGTTAGATATACATAGGTTATTGTTATTGGCCTGCATTTGTATGTAACTGTTGAGGCTATGTTTATTCATTATATTATTATCTCACTTTTAGGATCTTTCTCACATTCCATATATACTCGCAATGATCTTGAGAGACAGACTAAACTGAGAGATATTGGTACACCCCCAGAAATGGAGGAAATGAAGGAGAAAGAAATGTGGATATCATGAAAGCTCATGCTAAAACAATTTAAAAAATAGTCTTGAAGATGATGCAACATTTCTTTTTTTCTTTTCCCAACTTATTCCTCATTTTATGCTAAAAGAGACTAAGGGCGGATCTAGACAGCCCCTTTATTGTGGTAACTCCCACAATAAAGAAGGGGCTGTCCAGATGACATCCGGGACAATCCCAAATTAATTTGCTACAAACCAGGAAAACCCTGGTTTGTATTGAATTAATTAGCTAGTGAGTTTATTCCGTGCCTTCTTGGAAGACGCAGGATAAACCCAATATTTCTGGTTCTGGACTGCAGAATACTGTAAAAGCCCTCCTAAACTCAGTTAAAAAAATTAATAAAAGAACTCACCCGGTCTCCCTGGGACAGCTGCTGGAGTTCTCCTGGCACATAAAATGTGCCAGGAGAACTATCTAGAGGAGGATTTGAATTCAGGTCTATCTCATTTTATAAGCCAGGAATTTACAGTGACAAGTGGATTGCTCGTTTATTCTTAAGTACAAAGTTGTATGTGTGCAAACGAATTTCAGTGTGTATTTCAGCATACAAATGTGAATGCATCCATATACAGATTGACTCTCCCTTACCTGAAATCCTTGAGATTTTTTAAAAATTTATTTTGGTTTTTGGAATACCTGTATTCCAGCTGCTTGCTCAATCCACACCATGCTCAGAGTCCATATCTAGGCCACCTGCCATGCCATGCCATTGGTCAAGCAGAAGGTCAAGCAGAAGGAAAGCACAACATTGATTTGTTCTATGCAAAGGCATTTAGGAAAGTTAAAAACCACTAACTGAAAGATTTGGAAATTACCTGATATTTCTAAGTGATAGCAGAGTTAATTCCTTTGGCCTAAGCTAACTACCTGTAAAAAAGTAAAGCCACTGTCATTGTGGTGTGGTGGTTAATGCAATGGGGGGGGGGTAGTATATAGGTTGTAGTTATAGTAAGTTCGATGAAGGCTGATGAAAGTTGTTGAGGGATGGATGGATGGTGGTTTTGAGAGGGTGAGTAGTGAAGAAGAAGAAGCTGTGTAAAGTTACAGTGTATACTACTGTAACAAAGGTGAAAGAAAAGCCTTCCTGCTCATTTGGGAAAGAACAAAAGTCTCTGCGTGTTTTGTTGTTTGAGTAGAAGACCACTGCTATTGTGTTTTTGGGTGCCTGGTTCCTTAACCAGAACTAATAGAATCAAGTCCACAAGAGTTTTATGACTGCATAGAACCCTTGACAATCATAGGATGGACTATATTGTCTATCTTCTTTTCTTCAAACCTAGCTTTATAGGAATTTGAGAAAGATTATGCTATTGTTATTCCCCATAAGGAAACCTACATTAATAAAGAGTTGTTTCAGTCTCAACAAAGATAACTTTAAAAAAAGCACCAAGAAAATTAATAACTCTCAACAGTGAAGAATACAGATGTCAAAGCCCCCACAGGCATACAACAGTTTCAACGAAAGAGAAAAATATCTATTCCCTATGTCGCAATTGTGGATTCATTCACTGGACAGTAATCCTTATGTAGACCAAAGGGCACCATCTGCAAACAACACTAGGCCTGGAAAAACTTCAATGGCTGAAGCAGTACAGGTTGAGCATCCCTTGTTTGGAATTCTGGAATTCTAAATACTACAAAATGGTAGTGGCGGCATATAAATTCAAATAATAAATAAATAAATAAAAATCCAAAATTGTCTATTTGGGTGGCTGAGATAGTGACACTCTTGCTTTCTGATGATTCACTGTACATGGACTTTGTTTCATGCACAACATTATTAAAATATTGAATATAGAGCTGCCTTCAGGTTATTTGTATAAGGTATATATGAAATATAAATCAACTTTGTGTTCAGATTTAGGTCCACCTCCAAGGTATCTCATTATGAACATGCAAGTATTCCCATGTCCAAAAAAATCCAAAATATCAGGACACTTTTGGTCTGAAGCATTTTGGATAAGGGATACTTAACTTGATATTTAGGGTGGAATACCTTTAGAGATGGAGTGGCAAAGATTTATAATGATGTAACAGTAGGTAAAATGTAGCCCTCTGGATATTGTTGGAGTACAATCCCCAGGAGCCTTAGCCAGTAAAGTGATACCTTGACTTTAAGCATTTAATTCATTTCAAGACTGAGCTCTTAACTCAACATCCCTTATCTCAAAGCGAATTTTCCCATTGAAATGCTATTAATCCATTCTGCCCTTACTTTTGTTACATATTTTAAATAAAAATGTAATTTATAAATAACAAATAATGTAGAAATGCACATTCACATGGAACAATAGAAAAAGAAAGTTCAGCTTTAAAATGGTAGAAGCACAAAGTTGTGGTAAGGAAGCGACAAAATGTGTGTTGGCCAGTGAAACAGCAAGGCAAAACCTCCACATTCACATGGAACAATGAAAAAAGATCAACCTTAAAATGTTAGAAGCACAAAGTTGTGGAAGAAACCACAAAGTGAAGAGGCAGAAGCATCATTTTCTTCATACCATACTAGTTCCAGCCTCCCTCCCTCTCTTGATCTCTCTCCCACTCTCTCTTCATGTACCAAACATACAAAATGAACTAACCCGAAGTTCCTCAAAGCAGACAAGAGGAAAGCAGACAGCAATCTCCCACAGTAGGCAAGAGCACAAGGCACAGAGGCTGCTCCCCTGAAGCCCTAAAGCCCTATACTCTTGTGCTAGCACTCCCTCTTAACTCAAAAGGCTGCTCTTATGTCAAAGCAAAACAGGTTGAGTAACAGCGCTTAACTCAAATGCTCTTAAGTTGGAACACTCTTAAATAGAGGTAACACTGTATAATTATCTTTAAGGAATGCTGGGATGTGTAGCCCAATATCTGTGGCCCTTTTACATGGCACAACAGTCAGCCCCCCACATTCACTAGGGTTAAGGGCACTGCTACTTGGATGCTGACCATAGAATGACATTGAGATATTCCTAGAGAGGTGTTCACTCTAGAACGAGGGTGTCACATCAGCCTTGTGGTTGCCTTAATTGTAATACACAATACATGTAACTATGTTACACTGGCATTGAAAGCCTTGTGGACCACATAAAATGACATCGCAAGCGAGATTTGCCCCACGAGCCGTGCATTTCACATGTGTGTTCTAGAAAGCTCTAGAAAGCTCTTGCTGCCTGCCCTGCATTTCAGAAATGAAAATACTAAATACAGCATGACCAGAGGAAATTGAGTACAGAGTCACATTAGAGGACCTAGAGATTTCTAGGGAGAACATTTTAATCAAACCTGTGAATAATCAAATCTGCAAAAGTCAAAGCTGCAAACAGAGTTGCTATTGCTGCATTCTGTCCCCCACTTTCATCTCTCCTGCTTTTAATGCCCAAATATTTCCTCTTCTTAAAGTACTATGACCCTGCAGCTCTGACCCATCTATTAGAGCCAAATGAATGTTAAACAATAGCAGAAACTCTTTTAGTAATATAATGGAAGCTGTCAAATGCTACTGAATCAGGATTAATTTTGCAACCATCATTTTATTTATATCCTTGATAGCTTTTTAATCCAAACATTTTGAGCAGGGCTGTAACCTTGTTATGATATGCTGGCTCCATCCTGCCCTCCCGCTCCTCAGTATTTGTTTATGGCTGCCTCTCAATGCAGTGTTCCTCCTCCACCTGATTCTCAAGCCAATTTGTTTCTCATTTGAACAGTAGTCGCTAGCAAGAAGATAATGTCAAAAGCAATTGAGGCAGAAACAAGCTTTGCTACACGCTTTGCATAAAATATAGTCTCTGTTGAACATTTTGCGTGGGAAACCTTGATGCGGCAATACCGAGAGGAGGAGGTAGGAATACAAAAGCATTCCAGAGTGCAGACCCTGTGTGCCACCATTTGTCTTTGCTGTAATCAGATAGCTGCGACATGTGCAAGTGACTAAAGGGGGGCGGGAAGCCACAGCCAAATGTCATGTTTGTCACTAGGGGATTGGACTCAGATCTGCCAGTATTTGTGCGGCATGAGACAAGAGTCTGCAGCAGGCTAGCTGAATTTGTAAGATGTCAAGTCCAAGGCCATTGCTCAGCCATGGAGGGCTCCTTCAGCATTCCTTCAACGTCTTCAGCAACCAGTTTGCTGCCTGCTCTGCTTTTCAGAAACGAAAATACTAAATACAGTCATCCATATTTGTAGTTTTGACTTTTGTGGATTTGATTACAAATATTCTCTCTAGGAATCTCTAGGGCATCCAGTGTGACTTCATGGTCAACTTTCTCCAGTCATGCTGGAGGACCTGCAGATTTTTTTTAGCAAGAATACTCTTTAGGAATATTTAGGTCCTACATTGTTTCTTTGAGAACCTCAGTTAGAA